GCGGGCCGTGTCCAGCTGCGACGGACACTCCCGGGGGGCGGCTTGTGCCTCAGAAACAGATTTCTCTCGTTTTCCCTCATTTCCCTCTGTAACGCCAAGTGGGTGTGCTGGTAGGCCGTGGTTCTGAACTCTGTAGGAAGTGAACGGTTCATTAAAACGAGCGTCATGGGTACCTCTTTCTATCATAAAAGCATCCCCCCAGGTCTATCCCAAACCATCCCATCCAATAAACACACACTATGACCACGGAAAGGTCATCAATAAGATGGTTTCAAATCTCCAAATGATCCTGTTACAATAAAACATGGCACTGTAGCCCGGGCTGGTGTTCTCAGCCTTCCGGCCCTTTAAATCCAGTTCCTCATGTTGTGACCCAACCGTAATATTATTTTCGTTGCTACTTCATAACTGTCATGTTGCTACTGTGATGAATCGTCATGTAAATATCTGATATGCAGGATGGTCTCAGGCGACCCTGTGAAAGGGTCGTTCGACCACCAAAGGGGTCGCGGCCCACAGGTTGAGAACCGCTGTTCTAGAGTGTTAGCCCGCACACCGAAGGGTCTTGGGTTCGATTCCCGGTCAAGGGCCCATACCTCGGTTGCAGGTGCAATCACCACCCCCAGTTGGGGCACGTGTAGGAACCAACCCAACGATGGGTCTCTCACATTGATGTTCTTCTCCCTCTCCCTCTCTCTCTCTCTCTCTCTCTCTCACCATCCACCCTGAGAGCATCCCCCAACTCCCACCCCAGTGCTACCCACACCCCATCCTGCCTTCTCTCCCCATTGATCTCCATGGCAGCAAAGGCCAGAGGCCTCTTATACAGGAGGGAGATCAAGACAGGACAATTTCTACGAAGATTCCTCTTTTGGGGTCAATATACTGGTTCTCCACCGACACCTCCCAGAAGGCGAACCCCAGGAAAGGATGCGGGAACTGCCTGGTTGTCTAATGCAGGCTCACCGAGAGATCTGCAAGATCCCGGGCTAGTTTTAGGCCCTTTACCTTGTGGGCAGGGGCCCCGCGTTATCTGACGCGCTGTGACCACAGGAGCATACAGCCACTCACAAGCGTGACCGACCCGCTGTGTGGGAACGCATCCGAACACTTATTCGGTGAACAGCTTCAAGGGCACCCATCCTCCTGGGCACAGAGCTCCGAAACAACATGCTTTAGTCTAACCCAGTGATGGCGAACCTATGACATGCGTGTCAGGGGTGACACGTGAACTCATTTTTTTGGTTGATTTTTCTTTGTTAAATGGCATTTAAATATATAAAATAAATAGCAAAAATATAAGTCTTTGTTTTACTATGGTTGCAAAGATCAAAAAATGTCTACATGTGACACGGCACCAGAGTTAAGTTAGGGTTTTTCAAAATGCTGACACGCCGAGCTCAAAAGGTTCACCATCACTGATCTAATCCTTCCTTCCTTTGGCCACGATACATAATTGCTACAATACGTTTTAGTTTACGAATACTGTCTCTGGATCCTTGAAGAAGCTTGGAGAACAATCAATGCATGAAACAAGGTAGCAGACACCTGAATGCTCTCTTCCTGAACTCTTCCCAGGATCGAGAATCAGAGCCAGTAAAAGATTAGGGAGCCCCGGACCTAACCTGGGGTCCTCCTCAGAGTCTGGTCCTGGCCCCTGTTTGCTCTCCACCCCCCTCATCCTCCCCCACCGCCCCCTTCTTTCTAAGTCATGGGTGGGGAACCTGTTTTCTGTCAAGGGCCATCTGGATACTTATCACATCATTCGCAGGCCCAACAAAATTATCAACTTATAAACTGTCCGGCCCAGGGGCTGTATAAGGCCCTGGAAATCACTTGGCCTGGCTTTGAGTTAATGAACTGTTTGACCAAATAGAGGAGGCTGGTTTCTAAGTGGGTCATTCTGTATGGCCCGAGAGTGATATCATAAATACGTAAATAGCCCTGGGCAGGAAAAAAGATCCCCCGCCCCTGAGAATGGTGGCCCACTGGATAAAATCTATTCTGTACGTAAGAGAGGGGTGAACAACGGTTATGCGACAAAACCACATCTGAACCCCAGTGCCTCCAGGTGAACGATGCTTTGCTGTTTATCCTCGGGCGGAAGCTGTCCAGATGGGAAGCATCTTGAAGTTCAAGAATTAGCTTTTCTGGTCTTTACCTCGAGGCAGGTGTTCCATGCGCTCAGCCAGGATCCGTATCTCTGGATTACTTTCTCCTTCCAATAAGGCTCTGTGGAAGTAATAATAATAATAACAACTCATTAGGAAATAGAGCACAAGACGGGCTCTGAGAGCCGCACTGTGGAGTCCGGGGTCGATGACCACAACGTCACAGGCTCTGAGTTTGAGGACTCGTGTCTGAACGCAGACCCGGGGGGGCAGAGCATTCATCCGACCGAATGAACAAAATGAGGGTCTAGCCCTGGCTGGTTTGCTCAGTGGTTAGAGCATCAGCCCGGGAACTGAAGGGTCCTGGGTTCGATTCCTGTCAAGGGCATGTGCCTCAGTTGCAGGCTCGATCCCTGGTCCCGTTTGGGACGCGTGAGGGAGGCAATCAATCAATGTCTCTCTCTCACATCAATGTTTCTCTCTCTCTGTTGCTCCCCCTCCCTTCCACTCTCTCTCAAACAAACAAATACACAAAACAACGACAACAAAAGCATTTGATCAGGTGATTTCTTTGGCCACGTCGAGCTCCAAAAGTCTAAGAAACTGCAGCATCTTCATCAGGTTGTGATTCCCGCCGACAACGGAGAGCCCCGAGGACTCAGTGGCCACGTCGGCTTTGGGCCCGCGGACCGGGCGTGCTGGGGCTGGGTCGGCCCGGGATGTCCCTTGAGTGAGGAGACCCTAGGAGGCTGGCTGCTGCGGGCACAACAATTGTCACGTTGCCGGAGTGACGCGGGACGTCACTAACTTCCCTGCCAAGAAATGACACGCTGTGGATGGCAACGGGCAGGCAGCAGCAGGGGCCACTTGGAAACGCTGCGGATTACCGCTGAGAGCCGGGCACGGAAACAGAGGTGGGACGCCAGGGCCGGGCAGGGGCCTGGCGCTTCAGGCAAACAGGAACCAAGTTCCATGCCCACTGATTCCAAGGCTGGTGATTCCCACGGATACAGGAACCCCATGGGCGGCGGGGTGGGAAGAGCCAGCCAAGGGGAACCCCTTCTTTTTTTTTCTTTTTAATATATTTTTATTGATGTCAGAGAGCAAGGGAGAGGGAGAGAGACAGAAACATCAATGATGAGAGAGAATCATGGATCAGCTGCCTCCTGCATGCCCTGCACTGGGGATTAAGCCCCCAACCCGGGCATGTGCCCTGACCAGGAATTGAACTGTGACCTCCTGGTTCCTAGGTCGGCGCTCAACCACTGAGCCATGTCGGCTGCTGGGCGGGGAGCCCTTTCTCATGAAAACAGCAAAGATGATGGCGAGATGGATTCCACGCAAGGTGTGTGCGGACAGGTTTGCCACGGACGCAGGGCCGGACACGTACACGTGTGCAGATGCCAGAAGACAGACGAGGGGCAAGGCCCCGGAGCCCAGCCCTTCCACTCGGGGCAACAGCCAGGAAGCAGGACACCAGCCCATTAATCCCACACCCTCGTGACCAGGCGCTTCAGGTCCCAGGAACACAAACAGCTCCCGAAGCTGAGAAAATTCTGAGGCCTGTACCGGATCGGAGGAATGTTCTGGGTAAAAGGGAGACGCTGAGGGTGGGCGCCTGAGGATGCCACCGACAGCGAAGGGGCCAGGGTGGGGCTTGGTGAGAAGGCCACGCGCTGGTTCAGACCTGGCAGGAAGCCTGGCTTGTCGCTGGAGCGGCCCAAGTCAGGACAGAAAGTGTTGGGGAGCACAGGTCAGCGAATACATCCGTGACAGGTGTATGTGGAGAGATGTTCAGGGGGGAAGAAGATCTCTCGGGCCCGGCTGCCAGTGTGGCTCAGTGGATTGAGCATCGTCCCACACACCAAGAGGTCACCTGTTCTATTCCCGGTCAGGGCACATGCCTGGATTGTGGGCTCAGGCCCCAGTAGGGGGCGTGCAGGAGGCAGCTGATCGATGATCAATGTTTCTCTCTCATTGATGTTTCTATCTCTCCCTCTCTCTTTAAAATCAATAAAAACATATTTAAAAAAAAAATCTCTCACCTGGCCACAGTGGCTCAAGGGTTGAGCATCGACCTATAAACCAGGAGGTCATGGTTTGAATCCCAGTCAGGGCGCTTGCTTGGATTGCGGGCTTGATCCCCAGTGGGGGGGTGTGCAGGAGGCAGCCGATCCCTGATTCTCTCTCATCATGGATGTTTCTCTCTCTCTCTCTCTCTCTCTCTCTCCCTTCCTCTCTAAAATCAATAAAGATATTTTAAAAAAAGAAAGAACACAAATCCTGCAGACAGCCCCTCCAGACCACGCTGACGAAAGCCTATCCACCATCTTCTGGAGCTTTTCCCAAAACGCCCCTACAGGGTTCCCCTCCTGGGGAAGGGCTCAGACCCACACCTGCGTCCCCCTCTCGATGGCTGGCACGGGCAGGTGTCACCTTCTGCACCTGGGCACCCATCCGGGGCCTTCCCAGGCACGGACAGGCAGGCACTGGCCATGTAATCGGTGCCTTAATTAACACACACCCTTCACAACACACACACCGAGCCCTGCCCTCCACCAGACGAATGGCAGAGGCATCCACAAACCCACTAGCATAGAGGCCAGAAACGCACGATTTCCTCAAAACCTCTCCAAGGACCATTTTTAAAAATATATATTTTTGTTGATTCCAGAGAGAGGAAGGGAGAGGGAGAGGGAGAGAGAGAAACATCAATGATGAGAATCATGGACCGGCTGCCTCCTGCACGCCCCCTCCTGGGGATGGAGCCCGCAACCCGGGCATGTGCCCTGACCAGGAATGGAACCCGTGACCTCCTGGTTCATAGGTCGACCCTCAACCACGGAGCCACGCCAGCTGGGCTCAAAGGACTGTTTTTAAGGAAGAGACTCGTATGGCTTTAAGAAGTGGGTAGAGCTTCTCTGGTTATTTTGAGGCGAGAAAACCAGCCCCCAGGCCTTGGTAACTGTGAGATGCCAACCTCCTGACTCACCGCCTATTTGTGACCGTTTCATGTGGCTCCCCAGGTCGGCAGCCTCCTCAGCAGGAAAATAAGTGGACGCGTGTGAGAAAACCACGTCTCCGGCCTCATTAAGGAGTCAGGACAAGCCCGGCCGGCGTGGCTCAGTGGTTGAGCGTCGACCTAGGAACCAGGAGGTCACGGTTCCATTCCCGGTCAGGGCACATGCCCGGCTTGCGGGCTCCATCCCCAGTAG